CAGCATGTGTGTAGTGGTTGTTTTTACGGAGGCCATACTTTAGCCAGTTGGCCACTAACGGCCAGTCAACAAGCAGCTGAGAGCTTTCAGAACGAGTCAAAAACAGCCGTCGTAGCGATAAATTGTCGAACGGTAAAAACATGTCGAAAACTTGCGCCAACTCGTGACGAAACGCAACTGCAGAGGTAGCCGGAAAGGCGACAATCGTCGGCCAACGACGTGACACGTGGCAACGCCTCATAATTCATAACACTGCACGACCGAACATTATCGAAAGTGACCGAAGAATACGTCGCGAACGATGATGAACGAGCGCTCGCTGTAAGAACACCCAAAGGAGCCCAGCCACGGGCCACAGCAACGAGTTAGGACCTCGCTGTCCCTGAACAACCGACAAATTACTCTGAAAAACAATCCGGTCCAGCTGCTGTTCCAATTCTAGACAACTCCAGTGTGAGACTCATTTTACTCGTTTCAGAGGGCAGACGGTATGGCGAAAATATTGCACCAAATTTTTTTTCGAAATTAATGCAGACGTGATCCTAAGATCATATTGCTCACGACGAGAGTATTTTCCGATTCACATCAATGGCCGTTTTGCATCCACTGCTGGGAGAAAGCCCTTGCTTCTCTAAAATATTAATTTTGTCACAAAATTCCCTCTTCTGCAATTCTAACACACGCTCTCTGATCGAATAGATTCCTGATCATATTCTCATCCTGGCATCGATCAAGAGGCGTTCTGATACACCGCTGAATTTCTGTCGGAACCGAGTCGAATGTCTCTCTGGTTCAGGCGCATTCGGTTCTTCGTGCAGTGGGACTTGCTCTATGGCCTGTCCAGCTTCCTCACTCGGACAGTAACATCGTAGACTCCTGTCTGTCAGGCTGATTTCTCAGCGAGCCGCGGTGGCGAATATGTTGCTCTCGCGGAAATGAGTCACGCATCTGAAGGTTGCCGCTTGCAGCTGACCATCAACTATGAACCGAGAAATCCGTGGTTCCAATGGTCATCTTACAAGTAGCTAGCTCCCTGTTGCTTGTTAGAACGAATGTAAAGCATATTCAAACTGCTGCACACGGCCCACTGGTACAAACTGGCGAAAGGGACGCTTGACTTGCAGGACAGATGGTCACATAGGTGGTCACACGACAACAGACTACGCCGTACCGGTTTGAGTATCCTTTTGCCCCCCTCCCCTTCTAAGCTGCATGGTCATTTCAGTGGAATGTTGCTGTTGATTGTTGTTGTTGTCGTCGTTACCTGGTGTATCAGTGTCAAGAACAGAGTACTCAGATCAATGACGTCGGAATAGGAACAGGGGTTGGAGAGAATCCTGATCTGTCGCATGAATGTCAAAATGTCAAACGACCACGCTGAATATCATAATCTGCTATGTTCCTGACAAATTTGTCGAATGACAGCGACAAATACGTTTCCTACGACTGCTTGCAGTCGACTATTAGCGCTTTATAGCCTCGCGACGTCACAACTGTCACATGCTACCTCAGCCGTCACCACATTGACAACATCAGTGACACAGTAACAAGCGCCTGCAAAGCTTTCGCTACAAAAACAGTGTAACTGTCGGAGGGAACCCTATTGCCTCATAATCGTATTCATG